TTTGTCAACCACTGCAATTCACAAATGCTAACCATGTTGCAGGGATGGGCAAAGTATTCTGAGCGCCTGGGCGAAGCCTGGTCGGATACCTCAGCCAAGAAAGGCCCCCGGAAACAACTCCGCCTTCCCTGAGGGGCATCGCTATCGGCAAGTGGGGGTCATTTGACGCATTCCCCCGGCCGGGATCGGCCCTGTTGGGTGCAAAAGATTGGCCCCCGAAGTTTTCATTCCGGCCCCCTCCGCGAAGGGCCAGAAAAGCCCACCATTTTTTCCCAGGGCTTCAACCCCCTTGGCTGCCGTTGCCGGTACGTCAACCTTCCACATTGCCATGTCCAAAGACGCCGTCTTCGTTCCTGGTGTGTGGGGCCCGTATCGCGACGTGTTGATCCCAGGACACTGGCTCGCTGAGGGTGGCCAGTCGGCCACGGGCGAACTGCTGCGTCACGTCGTCGACATTCACCCCGCCTACGGCGAGACAAACGCGCTCGCGCAAGCCGAGAGCAAGAACATCTACGAGTACCTAAACTCGCACCTCGCCCAGATGGTCGAGAAGCAGGGCGCGCCGACCATCTCATACCTCGGCCGCCACTTCTTCCTGTACGGCGACCTCTGGGGCAACCGCTCGCCCGTTGCAGACGCCAACATGAAGGGTGCTGTTATTGGTCTGTCGAGCGACAAGAGCACCGACAACCTCGCGCTGTGGTACTATGGTGTGATGGAATTTATCGCGATGCAGACGCGCCAAATCATCGAGGAGATGAACAAGGCCGGCCACGTCATCTCGTCCATCTTCATGAGCGGTTCCCAGTGCCAGAACCCCGTGCTCATGGACCTGCTGGCGACTACATGCGACATGCCCGTGTTGATCCCTCGCTACGTCAACGCAGCCGTGGTGCACGGCGCTGCCATGCTCGGCGCCAAGGCCGGCAGTGCCGACGAGGAGGGCCGCACCGAGGGCCTCTGGAGCATCATGGACCGCATGAGCAAACCCGGCCGTTTGGTGAAGCCGGGCAAGAACAAGAACGAGAAGACTCTATTGGATGCCAAGTATGGTGTCTTCCTTGAGCAGTGCCGCACGCAGCAGGAGTACCGCAAGAAGGTGGACGAGGCTCTGTCTTCGTGGCCCGAAGCGCAGAAGGCCTGAGGTTCGAGTCAGGGTTGAAAGAAACACGGATGGAAAGGCGGGTGGGCCGGTTTATACAAGGATGGGGTGTATGATGGGACATCTGATGATAATAATAATGACACTCTCTCATGACGACGACTGCATTGTTCACTCGCTTCTAGACATATGGTTGACAGCATGAGCGCGAATGGAAATGAAGGACGAACGGGATCAACATGCACGTGTTGGTTCCTGGTCTCGGCTGTTTAGAGATGAGTTTACTTGCCCTGCCTGACCTAAACTACAACCTCGTGATGTGATGGTAGGATCGAAACTTTCGATTACGGACGGACGCAGAGTCTATTCTCGGGGAATGCAGCACAATAGATGCAGCAGCTGGAGGATTTGTTTTCTCCCCTACGTTAATGAGAAGTCGAACCATTTTTTAGAAGGCAAGGATGATTTCTTACATTTAATGCAGTGGACGATGAGATGCAGCAGCGGCATTGTAGAGATGAGGTGGTTGGGCACCATAGCGTCATGAGGCAGGAGCACAGGGCCCCAGCCACTGACCACCGCATCTTTCTTCAGCGGGTTCCAGTGGCTCATGCTCACCGCCTCAACTCCCATCGCCATCCCTTTCCTCCTCGAAGGGGGGGGGTTTCCCCAGGCATCCATCCCGGACCATTCACTACCACATCTAGCCTCCCTCCTCAGCCTGACAACCCGCATCCATACATCACCCACCACTCATCGACCACAGCTACTGATCAGCTGCATCAGGTGGCGGCGGCCCATTCGTCCCTGCATTTTCCAAGAAATCCAAGAAACGAACCCTACCTCTTGGCCGTTCCCTCGTCACTCGTCACTCGTCAGCCAGTCAGCCAGTCGGCCACGTCCACCATGTACATATCGCCAGATTAATTGAATTCTTCTCCATCCTCGGCGTCTTCGCCCTCTGCCACAGAACCCGCACTCACTGTCGACTGCACCGACGATGCTTTGTGCCTCCAACATCTTCTATCGATATCCCTCCGAAACTCAGCCGCATCAAGGGCAGCAAAGACAACAAACCAAAGACGATCTAGGTCCATGTTTCGACTCGGCCAGTGACAAACGAGACAGGCTCATTCCATGTGCGCCTCGCGATTGCGCAGCCACAACGTCTGACGAATTCACCCATCTTCCTGCCCCTGGACCACCGAAACGATTTGCAAAACATTGACTTGCAACCTTGGCTGCCTCATTCATTTTGCATCTCTTTGTAGTAGTCTTTCATTCACACATTGTGCTTGTTTCCTTTCTTCCATAAACTTCCGGCTACATCGGCCATGACCGACCACGATACCAAGGAGACGAAAGGCTTCTGGGGCGCCCTGTTCCGGAGCAATAGCCTTGCGCGGAGAACGGCCAAAACAGTTCGTCTCTCCCGTCAATGTGCACCCATGACACACAGCTAACCAATTCCCCAGGACCCTGAACCCCGAAGAGTCAGCGAGGGCGAGGCGAGACCGCGCAGGCGCCGCTCGTCGCCACCTGATCGCCGCCGTGACTCTGACCGCGACTCACCACCGAGCAGCACGTCCCGCGATCGCCCCCGCCGCTCCGG